ACCCCACGTTGAAAATCGCCCACGTCCGAACCTGGAGGTCTGCCTTACGAATGGATCCATCGTGCCAAGTCTGGGGTCAACAAAAAAGGAAGGTCGAGTCTTTCAGCAGATCTATGACGTTTTTGCCATCGGATTTTTGTTTCCTCTGCTTGGCTCGGACTCTGTGGCTTTGGAATCGGGTGGTGTGGAAGGGTCAAAAGGGGCCACGACATCGCCCAAAACGCCAGAGAACCATTCTCCGAGCTTAGGAACCATCCACTGCCGAGCTCCCGAGCTCCAATTGATGGACCCGAGAACCCACCCGAACGCCTTGTCTTTCCGTGACCTCCGATAGCCGGTTTTTTCGGGTGAGAGAGTGAGTAACTAGCTGAAATTTTGGGCTGAGGTCCTATGGAGAACTGATCCAAGCCCTCCGTGTGCTGAAGAATGTCAAGGCGACACTGTCGAGAGCAGAATCGCAGGGCGGGGCCCTGCAATGGGCAGAGTGGAAGCGTCGGGGCTTTGAAAAGTAGGGCCAAGGCAGCTTGCAAAGAACTCTTGCCGTTCCGTTTCCCCATATGCTAGTGGCTAATCTCGACATCTCCTCCTCTTCCTCCTACTGCTCCTCCTCCCAATTTACTCACACCAAGTTAGTAAGTCTCCCCAACAGAATACTCACACTAACATACTCACGGGAACTTACTTTTTTTTTGTTGCTGCTCTGTAGAGCGATTGCTGTTCCGCCGTTTGGTCGCTTCTGCTGATGCAGATTAAACCAACTCAACTCACACACGGGCAGACGCTTTGCAAGATGCTGTTGGTGCACGCGACGCACCCAAATGAGTTCGGAATCTTGATGAGCAACTTTTGTCAACCTTTGGGCTTATGGCTTTGTCAGAAAGTTGTGAGTGAATATTTGAACCCAACCCTTGCAAACATGCATATCATATCTTCCATTTACCATTCGCATCATCATCGTTATTCTCCAACATCACACGCGCACAGAGTCCCTCTATCCGAGTCCCTCTAGCCCCATCCGCGATCACCCTTGTTGCCCGTCTACGTTTTTGTAGCTCCGCATTTTGATGCAATGGACATGTGGGGTCATCCGGCTCTTGAAATTCTTTCGATGAAAAGAGACGTGGAAGAAGGACCTGCATTCTGTATATATATATATATAGACCCCTTACAAGCAACTGGAGAGGATCATGATCACCCCCATGGTGGGGTGTTGTCCTCCACTCTTTTGCAGGTTCCTGGACCGCCTTGAACAGGTAGTGCTGTTGTTTTCCCCTCGTGGCCTGTCCAGAGGAACCAGTTTGCGCAGATTCGGATCCTTAGGATTCCAAGAAGAATCACCATGATCTACAAATATCTCAAAGGGGAAAAGGCCAAAAAAGGCCACGTGGGGGAAAACCCATGCATATAATCTGGCAGAACTCATGACTTGCCAAAAAAGAACTCCGGTCACCCTCCATTTGTTGTGACGCAAGCCATGCCCAAGCCGTGAAGAGCGTCCCGATGACTGGCAAGATCCGAGCAACTCCCCAAGCGTTCCAACCTGAGAACTGGCTTGGAGTGCTTGGGAGTGCTTCCACCGGAACCCGCTCTCCCCACCGGAACCTCCTTCCTTCGCCTCCGGAACCCGCGAACGCCGGACGATCTGAAGCGCCATCGAGCCGCTCAAAGCGCTCAAAGCTGCTGCGCTCGGTGCCTCGCCAGGAGAAGCGCCATGGCATCAAGACGCTGGCGAGCTTGTGCTCGAATCGAGCCTTTCAGGCGGGGTGTTGCGCTTCGGTCGAAGTCGCTCCGGTCGGGGGCAAGTGGAGACACTTTCATAGTCTTTTTGGTGGTCGAGGTGAGTAGAGGCTCAGAGGTCATTGGTTCTCATCATTTTCAGGGGATGTCTGTTAATGACCTGTATCCTGATGTTTGTCTGCCTCATCTTCCATTCCCTCAAAGGTTTCGCTTGATGCCTTTTACACCTGGGGAAGGTCCTTTCCTGGTCCTTGGACCTCTCACGACATCGTCCAGATGGTCCTTGGATCATGGGAAGTGGACCGTGGAGACTTCTGTATGTCTCTTGACATCAATTTCAACCGCCGGCCTGGCGATTGTTCGGACCATGGTGGTCTTTTTTGGGGCAAACAGAAAGATCGAGTCGACACTACATGAAGGTCAATCCAGAGTCGTTGGAGTTGCGAATCCGCCGGCATGGGCGCGCTGGGGTGGATGGCTTCGGAGGATCGGGAGGGCTGAGTGGAGTGAGACATCCAAGTTGGCACTTTCATTCATGACATCCACTTCTATAGATAGTTCAACTATGTTCAACTCATTTCATCTTGAACTGCCAGAAAGCATGGGTTTGTTTTCTCCCTTCCTTTCCTTAAATCCCTCGAACACGGGTTTGAAGAGGATGTCTTAGTTGTTTTTGATCTTCAGGAGCTCTGGATGTAAATCTCCCACTCACCGGATGGAGATGGCAACAGTTTCCCAACCTCTTCCCAAACAGTTGCCTATCATGGAATCATGTCATGGACTCATGGAACTCATAGCTTGACCGCTTTGCCGCCGCCATCGACCTCCGTGCTTTCTCGGCTTCGGATCTCCCATGCGACCCTGATCTATCAGATCAGATCCCGCGCGCGCGCGACCTCGGCCAGGTCCGAATCGTCCAGCGCGGAGGGTGGCGGACGGCGATCTTGCCTTTGATCATCTCACTGGACGAGGCCCCGAAGATCGCGAACGACGCGACGCGACGTGGAGCGAGCGACCGACGTGGAGCGCGAAGTGAGTGGGGGAGGAGATCTCTTCCCCAAAAGACTGAGATGGGTTGGGTCTGTCATCAATAGGAACATCAATAGCTTGGGTCTGTCACATCAACAGGAACCAGGAACATGTTCCAAGGATGTTTGCTTCGATGTTCCAAAATTTGGGGGTGGCTCCGTCCCAGTAAACCCTGTAACAGGAAAGGCACAAGCAAAATCACTCTTTTTGAGATGGAAGTCGGCCTACAACTGAACCATCATCCACTGGGCCCTGGTTTACTGGGATATACCCAAGAGACGGGTTTCTATTTTTTGAACCATTGTTTCTAGTGGGTCAACGGGTCTATTTCCCTTCTTCAACGGGATGGGTAAAAGGGGATCTCCCTATTTCAATGGCCTCGCCACGAGGCCATAGAGTTTGAAGGACTGGACCTGTCAAACGTCACGTGACGACTCTTGATTCGACTCTTGAGACTGTACACCCGTCGAACGACGAGGTGAATGAAGCCTCGAACACCCCGCCGCGCGGCGCGCGGTTTGGGTCGAGGAAAACGATAACGAAAACCAGACAGTCAGGGTCCATGTGAGACTCGGGAGTGTACCCCTTCTGATCAAAACAAGGGACAGTGTTCTCACGGACGGTCGCTGAGAGACCCGGATGTACAGTCCCGTGCCCCAGATAGAAGAGGTTTTCGTGCCTCCAAATAAAAGGGCTAAGCGGCTATATAACTCTTCAGTCTAAGAGTCTCCATTCATGGCCAATCTCTTTCAGAAGGCGACCTCAAAGCCGATCCAAACTCATTCCCAGGTACAGAAACACTTCATTCCTTTGAGAGACCAGCTGCTTGAAGTTGCAGGTCACTTCTGACCTCATTACCACAGCAGGATATAACTTATTTAAACCTCAGTAATAATCGACGAGGATATAAACTCGTGCTTGAAAAGTAATTGGGGGTCTTCATTCGTAATTGGATATAAACACCAGTCCAATTATGATGATGAAGACCTCCCAGTAGCGACCTCGATGCCCCAAGTCGATGGCTGAGTCCCTTGATGCCAAAGTGGTGGTGGTTCATGGGGATGTTTTTGGAACCTTTGGCGAGCGAAGGATGCCCAGACGACCTCACTGTTTTAGAACCAAAGCCAGACTGCCTCAGATTGCTAGAAGACTGCCTCAGCCCATTTTAGGCCAAGTCTTCTCCCTGGGACCTTAGCAAGTGGCACCTGGAGCGCCCGAAAGCATGAAGTTGCCTGAAGCCCTTGTTTGACCGAACGCAACTCCACTCGAAGCCGCCCCCCCTGAATGAAGGGCTTCACCGAGTTTTGCGAACCGAAGAAGTTACTTCTGAAACATCTGAAGCTTCTGGGTGAGACCTTTTCGCTGGTCGCGCGTTCCTTCTTGGGTTGGGACTTTCCCGGATTTTCCCCACCTCCGAAGAAGGCGTTCGGGCGGTGTTCCGGTGGAGGGAGGATCAACCATCGATTTCTGATGCTGCAATGGCTTTCACTGTCAGGGTATACCTGAGTGACCACCAACCACCCCAAGTTGATGGTCCAAGTTCCTATCAAAACAGGGGTCATGTCTGGGTTCCAGGTATGGCTTGACAAAAAAGAAGTACCCGCTCCACCTGAGAGATGGGCTGTTAGGGTTCCAATGCAATAAAAGCCTTTAAGAAACATACGATGACCCATAGATTAGGTTATACTAGGGCTACTTGTTAGATAGTGGTGATGGACTAGCCCAAAGTCGTGTTAGGGTTCGTTGTCATCAGATAGTGTTTGTTAGGGTTTTGCTGCCAGGAATAGAGGGCCAAGATGGGCCAAGCATCATGTGGATGTGTATTGAACATAGGGAGACCTCCCCAGGAATGACCCCTGGAAGGTTCTGGAAATCGACCAGTCCACCCATGCCCATGGGCGATCGGGGTTCTCCCGGATTTAAAATACACACCCATACGGGAAAAGATGTCGTTCGCTATATGGTGGTGTTGGGGCTCCAGTTTTGACCCATCCCCACATAGAAAGAGACACAACGTGACATTCCAACACCCCAGTGCAGGAGAATCATTCACTATCAACTCCAGTGAAATGAGATCCAACTGACCTGTAGGAAAGCATGCATCATACATAGCAGCTGTAGCCTTAGTTTTCAGAGATTCAGAAAAGAGCTTTGATGAGGTCCCTACCTTTTTGAGGGCCAAGCTTCGCATCATGTCAACCGAGCTGCTCCTGCCGCCGTGCCAGGACTGCCGCATGTATGCCGCCTTGGCCGTGGCGAATTTGAGCACGTCAGCGGCGACACACCCACAGCTGCTAGAAGAGGAAGTGCTGAGGCCCGCAGAACGACGTTCTCTTCGACTCTTTTTTTGGGGCACCGGGCACGTGGCGAAGCTTTTGGCAACCAGGATTTTATGTTCTTTGGAGTCCTTGGTGTTTTTGTAAGTGCTGGTGTTTTCTTGGGGGTTTGGAATCCCCAGCTTCACTTGGATTCCCGAACATCTTTCCAGGACTCCTTGTTTTTCACACCTGCCATAGTGCCATGAGAGGAGTTGGCGTATCACAACCCATGCTGCTTGGTGGGTGCCCATCTTTAAGGTGTCAGGGTGCAGGCCACAGGACTCTAAGAAGAAGTTGATCTGGACGGACGCAGAAAATTCCGCCTCCCCTACGGCATGCTTTTTGGGAGGCTTCGGTGAACAAACATTTGACCTTTGGGCTGTTGGATGGTTAGAAGGGATGCGAAGCCAAGGCCATACTGGCCATACCACATACACTTCCTGGAACTCACATGCGCCAACGTGGAACACACATCGAAAATACATGACGTTCGCGAGCTCCCTGGAAGCCAGACGCCGCCTCCCAATCCCGATCGGGGCCTAATTATATCATGTTCTTTTCGGTTTGATCTTGTTGAGGGAGTTCTCACTCTCGGAGACCAGATAAGACTCCAAAAGAAGTAACAAAAGACTGCCAACTGGCGTCAACTTGCAGATGTCGAGCGGTTCCATGTCACATGCTTCGGGTCTTACTCCATGCCACACCCAATTCATATAAACCGGGATCGTTTTTTGGAGCACGCCGAGCCGAGCCGTTGGCCGAGCCTGGCCGTGGTGTGCTGCGGCCCGGCACTTGGCTTGGTCGCCCTGATAGGCATTTGGTGCCGATCCTACAAAGTGAGGAAGTGCAGGAGGTGCGATGTGAGATGCGGCGCGTGCGGGCGAGCCTTCGCTCGCTTTACGTCTGGTGCGTGCAGGTTTTTGAGACATTTTTGGGTCCGTGAATAGGGAACTATAGGAATTCTCTTTTGGGGGGGGGTGGAGATGATGAAAATCATGATTTTCAAGCAAACAAAACAAACAGGTGGAAGCAGGACATCGAGGAGATTCAGGCATTTTATGGATTTTTCATGGTCACATCACCTTGGGTAAATACTTAAATACATTGTGCGGCCCTGCCTTCATCAACTACTAGGGGGTTTGGTGGCACAGGGCTGCCATCCGGGGAAGACTGAACATTGAGTGCGAGAATAGGATCCATGTTATGCTGAAGAACCCCTCCTTGCAGGTCAGGGACCTCATTTCTCTTGTGCAACAGATACAAATCAACGAGTCGATGAGGTGAAGGACTCCAGGTTTTTACTTGGTCCTTAGACTGGGGTTAGGACTTGATTGAAGGGCTCAGCTCCGCCATCTCCACGAATCGCGACCGAATCAGAAACTCCATGAGTTTTGAGCGGATGTCCGTGTTCTGCGTCGGTTGGAGCAGATGGTCTTTCTGGATGAGGTGTGAAGCCGGTCAGGTCGCTCGTCCGCGCGCAGTGTTCGCTTGGTTGGCGTGTGTTTGGTTTTGCTGATACTTCGGCTGGATGCTCCGTCCGAAGTGGGTATTCCAGTTTTTCACCCTTCAAACTACCCATCCAGCTCCGCGAAAAGTGATGCTTCCAGCTCCATCCGAAGTGGACATCCGAAGTGCTTGGCCTTGAATTCGTCCACTCTTCGCCGGGACTGTTTCCGACCCAACCGCCGCAAACTAAACCCGCCGACCAACCAGCCGACCAAACCGGGAGGATTCCTGGGAAGCAACCGATGGGTGCTTTCTTTCTTTTGAACCTGGGGATGACCCAGGTTCACGGTGGGGTTGCCAAAGGCGACACGAAGGAAAGGATCCGCAGGAATCCAAAGGAGTGGAGTATCGATGGGTCGGACGGAATACTTCGTCGTCCAACAACTCCTGCCCTGCCCTGCCCCTTGGTCCAGGGGATCTTTTTATTGGGTTTTTGGGCTCAGAAATCGGTTTTCAAACCGAGATGAAATGCCATTTGTGACGACGACCTTGGACCTTGGTCGCCGGCATGTCGTCAGCTTCAGAACTCTGGGCTTGGTCGTTTCTTTTTTGTGGATGGACAACAGGTATCTCATCAACAAGAGGTGGGATCTGAACAGATTCTGCGTCTCATTGCCAGATGTTTCTGAATTTTCCGACTCTAAATAAGCCTCTCTGAGTAAGATTGAAGACAGGGAACACATCGTTCGCTGGGCCAGGTCATCGCCTACGTGTTGAATGCCTTAGGCAACTTTGCATGCCGCTTCGTCTGCCATCGTCGTCAACGTCGACGACGAGACGAGACGTCGAAACACTTCACCAGTCGCTTCGTGGGACTGGAGCCCACATTGACCCCTGAAACCACTCCAATGTGGCACATATTCCATACATGGAGTGTCTGGGTTCGTCTCTAGATAGAATCGATGGGAAAGAATATCAGATCATTATGGTTGTCAACGAGAACAATGATGGTGGTCAAACTTCAAAACTTCCAGACTATCGATGACTATCGAAGATCTCCAAGTCCACCTTGCATAGCCCGCTAGCATACTTTGGGACGGTCACCCTACCACAGTTCGGAAGGGTATGGCTCAACCATCAGAAAACCTTCAGACCATTGGATAAAATCCTTTGTAGCCGCATGCAAGTTTATCCGACGGCACAGGTCCGAGATGTGAGGTTTGAGGATGTTTTAGGTGCTCTTGTCAAAAAAACACACCTTCTCTGCCAAAAGATGAGTGCACGTTGCGTCATGCGACCTTGTGTCTTTGGAGCATCCGTGTCTTCCCACTCCAAATCATCCGCCTTGGCGGGGCCTGTTCCAGCACGAACAGGCCATTTTGGTGGGGTGTGATCTCTAAAACCGATCCCCCTGGCCAAATGGAATAGACCGCTCTATTTCCAAGGGATCGAACGTCTCCGTCTCAGCATCGATCGCTCCGTCGCCCGGTCGCCCGGTTCGCTCCGAGCTCGGCGCGACGCCGCTCCGAAGCTGCGCGGAGTGTGGAGCGCGGGGAAGCTGCGCAGAGTGTCGAGGTAGTGAGATCATGTGGCATGAGCTCCAACAGATGAACGCGGCCGATGGCATTCTGACGATCTTGAAGCAGACACAGCGTGAGGAGATCAGGCGCCGGGAGGAGATGGGAGGAATGCCCATTGGAGGCGTGTTTCTTTTTCAGATGTTTTGATGGCTCTGGGGTGAACGAAGAGGAAGAAGGAAGACGGTTCTGTGACCGATGACTCTGCAATTCCAAATTTCATCCTCAAAGGGGGCTAGCCAGAACTTCCCACCAACTCCTTCCAGCGACCGACCTTCTTCGCTGTCACATGTTTTCCCCTTTTCCTTTTCGCCTATACGGCCGCAACACCGCCCGACCCCGACCCCCCGATCAAACACTGGGCGGCCGGGCACGGAGCCGCGGCACGGAGCCGCCCAGCAACAGGATCAACTGCCTCTTCTGCTTGGCGAACTTGACCGCCGATCCGTGGCACCGGAAGTGGATGATGGGCAAGGAGGTGAGGATTGCGCGGAATGGTGGCGATGAGCCGATCCGGGGACATGGTTCCGGTGTCATGGAGATTCCGGTCTTCCTTTTTTTTGTTTTTGTTTTTTGGTTTTAGGGTTCTAGATCCGAAGCTTTTTGGCTGGTGGTAGGGTGTCTGTAGACCGGGTATGTCATGTTTCTTCTCCCTTCTCTAATTCTTTTGCCCCAGCGCAGCTAGCGTGCTGGCCCATGGACTTCTCACCTGCAAAAGTCGGAGTCTCAGCTTTTCCCAGTGCGCGCTGAACTCGGTGTTTTCTTTTTTGGTGGAGGGTCTGTAGACCGGGGGCCAACGAACGCGGACGAACCAGGTGTTTGGTGAAGGATGGTCCGCACGAGGCGTACGGCGCCCTTTGAAGGGCGGCAAGGTTCTTTTGTTGCAATGAGAGGGACATCAATCAAAGAGATGTCAGACATGTTCACAACATATATCCCCTAGGCTCCAACCCCACCCCACCTTCGTTTCGAAGATGGGCCAGGGGTGGGTGGAGATGGGGGGTCGAATACCACCGAACCTGAGGAGATGGGCCAGGAGCCCTAGGGACCAACAGATACCTGGACCATCTTGTCTGGTTTTTTTCTTGGCGTTTTCTAGTCGGGAAAGTCCAGCTAGGTGATAGTGCCGGAGGGTCCATATTCATTTCGGGGGGGGTGATCCACCAACAGTTTACATGATGGGAGGTGGAACACAGGCCCCTGGAAGAGCATGTTCCTTTGCAAGGAGGGGTCTGCTCCGCTGCCATGAGGGAGGGTACCTAATTACTTGGCCTTGGGGGGAATTTCGTCAAAGCATAGCGTTTCAAAAGCTTCAGCAAATGGATGTTCGGTAGACCATCCCCCCGGCCACTTCCAGTGTTTTCGGCTATCGCAAGAGGAAAGGAACAGGAAAAAGAGGTAGACCATCCCCCCCTGGATGGCCAGTGATCACTCGAATCACTGTGGTAGACCATCCCCCCTGGTAGATCACTGTTTTGCTCTTTTCTTTCGACTTGGCTCCCACAGTGATTGAAAACACGACACATCGATCCGCTTCATCACGCCGTGGTTCCGTGGTTGCTACCGGGGTTACCGTGCGGCCGTGCTGAAACACCGTACCGGGTGGGGTTTTCTCCGATGTCGTAGGTGTATGAGATCATCTGGAGCTACATGCAGGACAGGTTCGAACGTAACGTGGCGCCGTGCATTTGAGAATGATGAGAATGTGTTGAGTAGTGCATCAGCGGCCTGGCTGGTCAGGTTGGATCAGTGTTCTTCAAATTCGGCTGAGTCTTCCCGAAGAGATTTCTGAACAAATCAAGAGTCCACATTACGCCTTGTAGAACCATAATAAGACTTCACAATCATCTCTGAATGACCAAGATCTAGCAGACAGAGTCGAATGCACTGGGCCTGAGGGCTTGTCCTGCGATCATGGTGTTGACCTCACAGTGGGAATTCAGAAAGAATCAGGAAGGCCCTGGAAGGTGTCAGGTGACAATTCCGCTTGAGAGGTGTCCCCACATGGATATTTTTCCCCAAACAGTGTCACCACCACCGCCACCATCACCACGATCTCCACCTTCATCACCACCATCACCTCTGCACCCCAATGCGTCTACACAGTGTTTTGGGGTCTCTTGCCGGAATAGTTTGATTTTTTTTAAAGTTTTTTTCTAGTCACAGAGACCGCATGTTCTTGCGTACCTCGCAAACGCATGTCCACAGAGAGAACACTCTCTACAGATCCAACTCGCCGAGTCCATGACAGAAGGAGAAAGTGGTCTGAGGGTCAAGGTTTTTTGGCCTTCCAATGCCTATAAGCTGCCTTCACTCAGCCGGAGCAGGGACGCTGGGTGGCTCGAAGTCTTCCCGTTTTCCAGCCGGTTTTTTCCATCGAACCAGTGGCAACGTATGCTTTGAACTCCGACCCCAACTGGTTCCACTGGTTGGCTCCACGAACTCCACTACCGTGTGACGTGTGGCTCACAGCGAGGACCCGAATTACACCATCATGTCCTACAGCTTGGCCATCCTTCGTGGCCTCGCCGTGGAGACCGAAGCACAAGAACTCTTCCCCTCCATGGGCCGCTCGGTGACGTCCGCCGCAGCGGGACAAACCGAGCGAAACGCCGAGTCACCACCCGAACGAAACGCCGGGCGTGGGGTTCGGGGTCAGATTCTCCAAATCATGGGACTGGGTGAGGTGTGAGTGACCTGTATGTTGGACCACTTAAACCCCAAATATGTTAATTAGTGTTATTAAAACGTTTTTATTTATAGTATGTTGGATTTCACCATCCAAAGAAGGGGTTCAAATGGGTTCCAACACATGGCAGTTCCGGCCTTGGATGCTTTGGATGACCTCCGGCATTTCCTGTCGATTCCGACCAACCACCGGCGGGAGAAGCGGTCTTTGGGTAGGTCCTGATCGGAGAGGGTCGGGAATTGGCTTTTTGATCTACTTCGACCGTGGTTTGTGGCCGGCCACAAGCATATGTTTGGTCTATTGGGGTTTGCCATTGAAAAGGAGAAACAGATCTAATCCATCATAAGGGCTTCACTGGCTTGTTTGGGGGTCGTCGCTTGATTCACTTTGGACACTGAATCACGAAACTGGACTCATTATGATCTATGGCGTGATGTTTTCCAAGCCTAGCCCTTTTGTTTTTTCCCTGTTTCTTTGTGGTGAATGTCGGTTGGGTCACGCTGGTCGTTGGAAATTCGCTTGTCGCCCATCACATTCTTCCATGGCATGGCTCGGTTCACGACCGGGTAGGTCATCTCCCTATCTTCCTTCGGTCCAACCGGGGGATTCGGGTGGCGGGTCGCTTCTCGCAGCATGCGCGCGCGCTTTGCGCGGGGGGGTCCATGCAGGTTTCCTGCAGCTTCCTGCGCGGTCCAACGCGCCGTTGGACGTGAAGTTCATCCGTCACCGGTCCATGAGGAATCCTACCTCTTCCTCTCTCCTAGCTGTCCTAGCTCTTGTAAGAGGGGGAACTTGCGCAGGAAGGGGCCTGTTAATCATCCGAATTCGCAGGCGCCCCCTCAGGGCGCCTGGGGTGTTTGCTTCTCCCATGCATTGACCATTTCTTTCGTTGGGTGCGCATATATAACTGAGTCTCATCCATCACATGAGCCTCATCCAATCCGCGGATTAGACACTGGGGTTCATGAAGAGGGTACTACTCCACTCCTTTCAAGACCACCCTTGGAAGAGGAGGGGAGGATGCTCGAACCCCTCGCAGCTTCGCTTTCAGATGCTCTTTGCCACTCGAAGTGCTAAGGATTGGTTCCCTTGCTCATCGGCATTTACCATAGCCGCTTGGGTCGATCTCGGAGCTGCGAGCGTTTAGCTTCTTTCAGCTGGTTGGGCTGGAAGATGTTTGGGGGGGCTTAAGAGTTTGGCTACCCAATCCCTTGGGCAATCCTCATGGCGGTTGGTGGTTCCTATGCTTCAAGATGTTGGTTCATCAATGCGATTGGATTTCATTTTCTTGTGTGGGGGTTGATCCAGTTCTGACACATGAAGACACTCACCTGTCAGACCACCGGAACTCCCTTTGTTCTTCATTTTTTGCACCAGTACTCGAGCCCAACCAGTGTTAGACGATTCACGGACATGGGGAAGGACACTGACCCGGCCAAACGGCCCGGTGGAATAGAAGAGTTCCGTTCATGGATGACGCATCTCCCAGAGAAGACTCGCATCTCTCAGATTCGGACCTAGTGTGACGCTTGAATCTATTTGGGGAGACGCTTGGAGACTTGATGCCCATCGACGTTTGGCTCAGAAAACAAGGAATCTGAACGAAGTGTAGAGCCCTGACTGATAGCACAAATGAAGGGACACCGGCACGGCCGCCGTTTTGGAAGGAAAGGGGGAGAAGAGCCGTCAGGCACGTACCGGTGCAACCATGAAATGGATGCATTGTGTTATCACCATTTTCATTCGGCTCACATACGTCCTCGGCTCCGATCCGTCCGTGCGTGGCGACGATCGGAAGGGACGTGACGTTTCCTTCGATCGTGGGTGAGGAAGAGACCGGCCGGTGCTACCGCCAGCCCCTAGAGGGAACTGATACGAAGAGACGACACCCCGCATGTTATCACCCAACCCCTGGCAGGGTTCGTCAGTCGCAGGGATCCAACTCATCCGCAGGGTCGACACCATGGCAGTTCCGTCGACCTGGCGAGTCTTCCGTCCACCCTTCCCCCACGACCTTCGGAACCATCGACCCCCACCGAACGCAGCGTCCGTCACGAACGACCACCGGCGGGTTCCGCGGCTGCAGACGGTGGAGCGAGCGGCGCTAGACCAGCGGACGCGTCGTGACTGGGCCGAAGGTTCTCGGCCGAAGGTTCGGACTGGAGTCGATGACCGAGTCGAGGTCAATGCCCTCAGTCTTTGAAGACTTTGTCGATGGATTTGCTGCTCCACTTCTCCATGTTCAAGCAGAATGCAGGCCGAGTTCGACCGAACGACCTCAAGGGCGTTTGGGCCCAACGATTCGGAGCTTCCACCGCCGAAGGGGTGGAAAGGCGGCCGAGGTCACGGACGGATCACACTGGGGCATAGCCAAGAAACGCTCGGGGTCACAAGGGATTGTCTAGTTTCATCTAGTTTCTCTGTGGATCTCAGTGGTGTTCTTTTTTTGTTTTTGTTTGCTCAGCCTGAGGGTGACATGATCTGGTTACTGAGAAGCAGATCTGGTTGGTTGCGAGCCGTCCCTCCGGAAACTGAGGAACATTGTCTATGACTCGAAAGGGTTCATGTTTCTAAGCTTGCTGCGAGGTTCATGTTCTGTTTGAAGAGAAGAATTCTTGCACTTTCAAGTTCAGATCCCGTTTTAACTTTCTTTTTGGGGGGGTGCCCAGATTTCAGGAACGCAGGTGGACTGCTCACATCAGCTGTGCGTGGCTTTTCAGGGCTGATGATGGAGAAAGAGGTGGCCCAGGTGATCGAACTGGCTGGGCGGGGAACAGGACATGTGGAATACGTCCGGAAGCCCAGCGCGTGCGCGTCTGCGCGTCTGCGCGTGCGCGTGCGCGTGCGTGTCTTCGCCTGGAGGTGGAAGTGATGGATGGAGTCTGACTAAGGGTGGACGTGGGGTGGACTTTTTGGAGGAGCAATTTGGACGGGGTGTCTATGAAGACCTGAAGAGGTGATGGGATGTCTAACAAGCAGGAACCCTTGGTCAGGGGTACCTATCAAGCTGCTTGGGGGGGCTGGGTAGCTCTCCCCTCGCAACTCAGGCAAGAAGGAATACAACCCTGTATTAACGTAGACTGTTGATGAATAAACTGCCCCCTGGCAGAAGGGTTTTACAATGTTTTGCATCTCCTCATGAGGGCATTCTTACACCCTGCACCATCCACCTTGAATTCACCAGCAGCAGTAGCAGTCCTACAATACTACTAGGAGGTCCTACCTTCGCTCCAGCTCCAACCCCCGTTTCAGCTGTGCTGCAGCAGCGGCGCTGTAAACTGACTCAGCCAGCAGGTGCCCATCGGCATTGCCATCATCGCCAACATCTGTGAGTCGGTGGACTTGCACGACCGGATTGCCAGGCGCTGAGAGGTTGCTCAAACCAGGTGGGGGACGAGGCTGGAGGAGATGAGGAGGTGAGGAGATGAAGGGAGGAAAGAGCAATGTGTGGGAAGATTGGACCGTCAATCAAGTCTTATAAGGTGATTCGTTGGTTTGGAAGAACTTCAGACTTCATTAGTCAGTATGTTGGACAACGTGACTGCGGACGCCTAACCAAAGCCATTGCTGAGGTGGAATCGCCCCTCTTCGAAGTCTTAACTGAGCACATCCACAACGACAACACCAACGCGCCATGGCAGATTCTGTGCGTTGCGGCCGGTTGTTAGGTGCGTTTCCAGGTTTCCGAACCTAGAACCGAACTGGATCTTTCGCTTTCCAGGCCCACGAACAGCCGGCTACATGTGTTTCTCTTGGCCCTCTCGTTTTGGGACCTCTCAAGCTCGGTCACGAAGTGCACGAAGGTCACTCTCGACGCTGCCGGGGAGGCTCGACTTGGGTTCTCTATCGCACCTGCGCGAGAAGAGGTTCCCCGTGTTGCGAACGGGTCTGCTCGACCGAACTTGGCCTGTTCTTGGGGGGCTTCACGGCCAAACCACAGGAGCCCATGTGTGGGTTGCGGGCTGAAAGAGTCGACTGAGAAGCAGCGATAAAGAGTCCCCAGAGGTTTTTGTGAGGTTTGCGGTTTATGGTGTCCGTTTCCCCTTCCAGCATGCTTTTTGTCGGTCAAGGGTTTGAGACCTGAGAATCCCAAGCAAGCCCACACTATCCCGCAATCTGGCTGGGCGACACCCGGCTTTTCCGTTCTCAGGTGCAGACGCAGCTTGGTGGGGATAGAGGGTGTTGTTTGATGCCTGCGCTGGGGGGGGGTATTGAGAGGCTTTTGTGCTGGCGCTTTCTGGAGGGTCTTCCAAGAGTAACACTGGGCGGTCAAGGGGTCAAGCACCTAGTTTGAGGTCAAAAAACAACTTTGGACACAGTGCTGAGCTGCCAAATCATGCAGATGGAGGTTGGGCCCATTCTATACAGAATATGTTTTGTGCAAGATCCAGATGCTCAAGGTGATTGTAAAAATGGTCAGCTACCCGGCCTACCCCACTTGATGTTTCAGCACGAGTGGGTTGGGCGCAACTCCATTTGGTTGAAGTGTTGGACAATTGGATAATGCTAGATTCTGCAGTTTGCGCACTTTTCTCAGGTGTATTGGGACATTGGAAGGCATGATGGCTGGCTTGATCAAGAGAACAAAGGTACTCAACCTGCCAAGAATAACATTGAAAAGAGTAGACATAGAGAGCCAGAGAGTCAAAGGGAACCCGACCCAATAATACAGCTGGGAAATCATCATATGGACATGATCACCTTTCAAAAGTCAGGTACTCGATTTGCATATCAGCAGCCACAAACACCAGCTTCTTTCAGTAAGACCAACACCTGACAGAAGACGTTGGAACACCAGAGACCCCCCACGTTTGAACCGAACATCGAGATGATCAGAAGATGCAGTCAAAGTAGCAGCCCGAACAGCGCCCGAACCGAACACGCGCTGTTCACAGCGTCCACGGCGCGGGCGTCGTTGTCCCGGCGCGGCCGGGGTGATCCGGACCCCGGGTTCGGCTGGGTGTGGCTCGGTGTCGCTGGGTGTCACGAGTTCGGCGTGACGTGGTCGGAGCTGACCAGATCAAGCGACCCAGTCCTGCGGGTACACCTGATCTGGTCGACCGACAGGTCCGTCCCCGAATGGAGGCAGCATCAACTGCCTATAGGGTGCAGCCCATCCCCCGGAAACTGGGAGTGCCAGGTGGTTGGGTGTTTTAATTTTTTGTTGGGAAGCACTTCCAAGAAAGAAGTCGTACTCCAAAGAACAGCAAGATCTTAAAGATCAGTGGTATCTTCAAGCAAACCAGCTGTTTCTGAGCCCAAGAGAAGTCCAGACTCACCTGGCACCCCAAACCTGGGTCGATTCTGGGGCATGTGTTCCTCACCCACGTGTGGGGATGTTCCTCACCGTTGTCTGTGGGCCACGTGTGATTCCTGGCTGAGGCATGTGATCCGGGCCTTGATGCAGTTGAGCTTGTCGCCGAAGTACCACCATGTGATCCTCACCACGGGCGTGACTGGGCCGAGTTCGGCCAAGTTCGGCTTGCTTCGTGCGTGCAGAACCGAGTGGGAGAACACATACGGCTGGATTTCCCCGCAAATCTTGGAGGGTTTTTCCCTATTCTAAAACACATCCATATAATCCCATATATCTTCAGTATGTTCAAAAGAGGCTGTCCAAATGCATGGGTTGAGTTTCCAGCACGACAGGGTACGATGAGGCAGGTGGTAATGATGCGTGGAGTCGAGTGTGGGGGGGGGGAGTTGGGATGCTTGGGAAGTTGGGGGTGAGACCTCCAAGATATCTTCGAGGGTCCCCCAAAAGAAGGGTCTTTGGAGCAGGTACGGGTACCTGATATGACCTGTGGAGATGTGGAACACAGGCGGGGCTCATATGTATCTTCGCTGCTTGCTTAGGATTTTGTGGGAATGGAATGGAATGGAACCGCTGCGGGTCCTTTGGGTACTCTCACAGCCGCTTTCACCCAAGTTGCCTACATGCAGAACCGGAAAGCTGCATATCTCGGATGCATGCAATTAGCTGGAGTCTCAAAGTACCTTCAAATAATTACCCGTTTTTATAGGGTCATGTCTCATTTTCTAAGGTACTTTGGTTCCTTCAGCAGTGGTGACAAAGATGGTTCTTGTTCAAGAGGCCCTGTGCTCTTGATAGAGTCTCAGATTTAAAACAGACGCTTGCGAAATTGCGTGTCACAAGAAATAATCATCCGCGCCGATGCGAACGCTGGCATCAAAAGCAACGACCCATCGAAGTTTCCGCGCCCACACGCCCAGCGCCATGGCGACAGTCATGATTGGCCCCATGGACGTACCCTGACCTGATTGATTGAGCTTGTGCTTGGCTTCCTAGACCTTTTCGCTCAAGGACGTTGCTGCCTTGCCTCTGCGAACCTTGCGTCGCCGCACGCTGTGGCAGCCATTGCCGGCGACGGTACTTACACCATTGGGTTCTCGGAGTTTGCTGCGATTCAGGTGTCAGAACTTGAGCCTGTTTGATCCAGGCGCGTGGTTTCCATGGATGGTGCCGCCCGCTGGCTGAGCGCATTTTGCGTGAGCGGGTTGTCTTTTTGCTTCCCGGTGTGTTGGAGGCACAAGTGTGTTTCACAGTGAGCGGCGTGATGCTCACACCCTTTCTTTGGGCCGCTCTTGGCGAGCCGCGCCACGTAGACTACGTGATCGTTGCGTGGTGCGCCGAGGATTGATTGAAAGCAGCTTGGGTGCCGATGCGTCACTTGCGCCCCAAGGTGCCCTTGACTTTAGAGGTAACAGGGTTCTTGCGCACACGTCCAGGCAGCCCTGCTGGTTGTCTGGCCTGGAGGCTTGCACTTGCGCCCCAAGGCACCCTTGACTCTAGATGTAACAGGGTTCTTGCACACACACGCGTCCAGACAGCCCTGCTGGTTGTCTGGCCTTGGGACTTGCACTTGCGCCCGGACACTCTTGTAGAAGACTCTTGCGGAAAGCAGTCTTGTGTGACGCTCATGTAAAGACACTCGTGTGGGTAATTCCTATAGGCCACTTTTGTAATCCACTTTTACTCTTGTCAAGAGGAAAGACATGCGTCGAACCAAACCTACCCCACCAAGCACGGACGACTAGAATGTTTATTTCTTAAAATAGAAGGCTAGCTTGGTGGCTGGCTGAAAGGTGAGAACAGAAATCGATAGCTGTAGAAGCAGGTACGCGGAGATGATTAGCTTCCGCTTCCTAGGTCATTGCAAAGGGTTCGTTGGGCGGAGCTGTAGATGATATGTGCATGATATCAGAGGTCCTGAAAAATTGGAATTGTGTACTTGTGGTTGTGGTTGTGTCTTTGTGATTGTGTGTTTGTAGTTGTGTTTGTGGTTGTGTGTTTGTGGATGTGTTTGTGGTTGTGTTTGTGGTAGTGGTAGTGGTTGTGATTATGTGTTTGTAGTTGTGGTTGTGGTTGTGTCTTTGTGATTATGTGTTTGTAGTTGTGGTTGTGGTTGTGTCTTTGTGATTGTGTGTTTGTACTTGTGGTTGTGGTTGTGTGTTTGTGGATGTGTTTGTGTTTGTGTGTTTGTGGTTGTGTGTTTGTGTGTTTGTGGTTGTGTGTTTGTGGTTGTGTGTTTGTGGTTGTGTCTTTGCGATTGTGCGTTTGTACTTGTGGTTGTGGTTGTGTGTTTGTGGATGTGTTTGTGGTTGTGTGTTTGTGTGTGTGTGTGTGTTTGTGGCTGTGTGTTGTGTGTGTTTGTGGTTGTGTGTTTGTGATTGTGTCTTTGTAGTTGTGTTTGTAGTTGTGTGTTTGTGATTGTG